CGTTGGGACAATGGTGGTTGGAAGTGTTTTACCAAGCGTGATGATGGTGCAACCTGTTATTATGGTGGTTATCTTGGTCTTTATTATTTTGGTCGTGTTGGTGGTGGTTATCTTCATGTGTGCTTATGTGATCGACACTAATATGTTTGTTTTTCATTTTTTCCAAGAATAAAGTTTGATTACTAAAGAGCAGCGGAGGCTTTTCTTTTGTTTGGTTAAATTAGCGGGTGATGTATGAGAAGGGCAGGGGGTTTGTGATAGGGAAAAGGTAGTTGTAGGGGAAAGGGAGTTGTAGGGGAAAGGGAGTTGTAGGGGTAAGGGAGTGTAGGAGTAAGGGAGTGTATGGGTAAGGGAGTTGTAGGGGTAGGGGCCCAATGCGGGCAGCTGCTGTGCGACTGGAAGCAAAAATTTTCGGGCATTGTAAATGTCGCTAGTGTACGGTGTCGCTTTTTAATTAAATTAATTAAATTAATGGGGTAATGATTGTAAATGCGTTGAAGTAGGTGTTAATATTGTTCCCTATATTTTTCTGATTGAAATGACGTAGAATACGAGTAGAAAACAACTTAAACGGTATGTAGATGAATGGACGATATTGATTGGCTATCGCGTTGCCGAATGGAATGCATGTTCCAGCTTTTACCTGTTCTGTTCCATGATATAAGTGACTCATCGTTCTTTTTTCTGTTCGTTTCGTTTTGGTTATGCCATATCAGTTGTTCTGCAGTATGTTGTGAGGTTGGAATACTGTATAAAAAACGTGAGTCCGCCTGAAAATAAATGCTGGGCGAAGGACTTTCTCATTGCTAGAAAAGTTATTGCTGGATGAAGACAGCTGATTGGTAGAAAATTTAATTCAAATTTAATGCAGTTCCAAGAGAATGATTCCGATAATGGGATTCTATCGAATTCGTGTCGGAATCTTGTCGGATATAGTATGGATTTCATTGGACTGGCGAAATCCGATAGATTTTAGTGTTGGAAATTAACGGAATGGAGCATAAGCATTCGACCCATGTGTTCTGTTGGCGCGATATACCTATTCATTGGTGATTAAGAAAATGCTTTTTTTCCGGCGCGTCCGTTAGTAGGTCCGTGCCCAGGAATAATCTAATTGGATTTTGTCGACTTCTCGGATCCCATGAAATCCGATAGGATTCAATGTCGGATTCATTCACCTGGGCTTTGTATGGATCTATTTAACCAAATGTAACAATTGAGAACGAACTTGATCGTATAATTAGATTTATGAACATTGCCTTGATGAAGGTGCTCTTTGTGCTGGGTAAATAGATATTTTTTGTATTTAAGAAGACTAGAATATTCAGCAGAACTGCAGTTGAAAGAAAAAAGTTAAAATACTGGATATTTTGTTAACAAATTTTCTTCAATCTGTGATTAATCTTGAAAGATTGACAGAAACGACATTTTTATTTATTGAGGATACACGAACTTTATGCATTCTGACTACATTATAGTGCTGATTTCTGAGTTCTGATTGATGTGTTAAATTTATTATTCTAGACTCATGCCGATTAAATTCGAAATTAATATCGCATTATTTTTCTAGTGTACATAGCGCCTAATACACTTTTCAATGGTGTATTTATGTTATTGCACCATTTAAAGCGACGATATTTTATGTTGACTATTCCTTCATTATTGAACTAAAAACAACGAAAATCTCGTTTCGAAGTTCATCAATCTGAAGGGTGCATTAATCTTTGTAAGTTGGATGCACATGTTTGCAATACGAAGTTCCTACTGTATTAGTCCTAGAGTGTAGACAAGGTCGATGTCATATGTGGGCACTGTTTACGAGAATGCAACTAGTGCAGGGAACAGATGGGTAGGATTATAGAGGTTCATTGGAATCTTATAATTGAGAACACTGATTGGCACGATAAATTCAAACATTTATCTTGCCAGATTCCATTATGTGATATATTGCCAGAGGGGTGAAAAGATATATCTTTTGTGCAATTAATAGCAAATGCATTTTAAGTTATTTCGACTCAATACAGTCGAAAGATTTCAAATGTATTCTATATTAGAACTTGAGAAGGCATAACTCTCGTATATTCCTTTTATCAACACAAAAAGAAACTGTTCGCTAACAGGCATCGTTTAGAAGGGAATTTCTATAGTAACGAAAGGGTTCTTGTCAAATTAATGGACAATCTGCACGCCCATCTTACCTCGTCCGCACCTGCATGCTTCATTTAATTTCATTCAGTTCTATCCATTGATAAAAAAAACGATACCATTCACTGTTCATCAGCTATGACTTTATGACGAGAGATAAAATTAACAATATAAAATAGACATCTAAAAATGAGAAATGAAAAACAAGAAGATATTAAAAAGAAAAAACAAACCAATAAAAACATACAATACAACAACCCAATAAGAAGAATGCAAATAAAAAACCAGTCGACGCATCCAGTCGGTTGTTCAGACTTCGTCGATTTGGTCTTACCTAAATTACATGAATTCATTAGCATCAAAATATTACGAACACTCAACAGTGAATATACTCATGCAAAACGTTTACTCATTGCTCATAGTATCTCAGTGAAGAGATTACATATGTTCACAATCTCATGACAATATTTCAAAACAAAACTCAAATAAAGTCTATTCAGCAAGCAGAAAACACACACAAACAGGAAAAACCATCTACTTACATACACCCGAAAAAGAAAGGAGTACTAAAGTTGTTTCTAATATGCACGTCAAAATACTGCTATTCATCTTTTAACCTAAACTCAAATGCAATAAACAGCGGTCTCAATTACGAATCAAAATGCAAAAAGAACAAAGCACATCAGTGCCATTAAAATCTTCCAATCAAACCCCATGTCGTCAGACACTCACCGTACATAGATTCATATGAACATTTAAAAAATAAATAATATATGCAACACGCCACAGACGTTTCTTGAACACACATCAGATCTTTTAATCAACAAACTTCCGTCTCACCAGATGATTCCAGTTCATACAAATCAACACAAGCAGCACATCCCTAAGCACACTCCTTTCTCTTAGTCAAATGCTCATTAAAATAAAGTTCCCCACATGACAATAACAAATGTTCTCTACCGACTAGAGAATATGTACCGTTCTCATATCCTCAAAGCCTTTCAGACCATTACTCCAGAGCACACTTCAGTCTATCCAACACAATTTCATCAAATCACGAATTCGCTATCTGAAAACCAACAATCATACTGATCTAATTTCTGCGCGTTAATGCCC